TCGTCCCCGTCCTCTTCCTCCCAGCTGTCGTCCTCGCTCTTGGGGTACACGGGCACCCCGTCGTAGCATTCCATGGGTGTCCGCCGCAGTCGGTCACAATCCTCCTTCCCGTCCTCCCCTACCCTTCGGGAAGACAGTCATCGGGTTGGAAGGATGGGGACGGGAGAAATGAGGAAATCATTGCCCGCAGGCGGTCGAAGGTATCGTGCAATCGTGCACTGCATCCGAATGCTAGTGCTCGTACCCTTCATCCTCCCAACCTCTTCCTCCCAGCACGATAATTGTTATCCCCTCCCCTCGGGCGCACCGCGGCATTCGGCACAGGGGCAGATCGGTCAGTTAGGCGGCCTGCTCAGAGGGTACGCGATCCGGGCCTCGCCAGGTGAAGGACCAGCCGCGCAAGGGTGGCGGAGGGCCAGGCTCAGCAGCACTCGGGGGCGGAGGGGGGATGGGGAGGAGGGAAGGGGAAGGGGAAGCAATCAAGCACGCACGCCCCCTCGCGCCTTCCGGCCGCTACTCGAACTTGTGGGGAATCTACAATTTTTGAGGCATGCCAGCGCGATGGTCCTCTCAGCGCAACAACGCCCGGTGGGGCGGTGGCGCTCGCGTAGTTGGCGGCTCTTGATGGTGCTGTGCCCTTTGTGGCACGCGGTCCTGGTCAACCTGCTCGCAGTGTCGATGGTGCCAGGTCCCGAAGTCGTACGTGCAAGCAGTGGCTGCGTGGCTTCCACTGCCGCCGTCAGCACCTGGAACGCTGGTCGGCATTGCTCCGCCTACGGTTTCCACTCCTACCTCACTTGCCTCTCCACCTCCGGCTGCACAGGCGCCAGCGATGGTCTACGTCGATGTGGACTCCGAGCCGTCCCAGAAGCAGATCAGCAACCAGCTCAGCGCCCTCATGAAGTTCCGGGGACCGCTCGCGATGATCAACTGCCCAGCCTTGGCGGTCATCGACGCTCAGATCGCGGAGAAGAAGGCGTCATTGTACGCGTCCCGGCCGCTGGGCCAGCACTATCCGCGGGCCGCTCGAAGCCCCGTTCGCGTCACAGGGCTTCGGCCAAGCCATGCGGTTCGACCGCGCCCGGAAGATCCTGGGCGCGCGAGCGGGTGCTGACAGGTCGTCCGTTCAGGCGGCCTTCCGCCGACTTGCGCAGCATCGCCGCCCGGACAAGCATGATGGGTCGACGCCAAAGACGACGGCGAACGCCCAGCGTTCCTGGAAGGACACGTGCGACGTAAAATCGTTACTGTCGAACGTCATCCCGGCTGGGTTGGCTTCTCCGTCCGCGCCAGGTGCGGCATCTCCGCGCCCTGGCCGCCGGGTCCGGCGCGCGACGGACGCGGCCCGCTGTTCCGCGGCAGAGCTCGGGCCGCAGCTGCTGGCCGCGCGAGCGGTTGCGCGTTCCAAGTCGTTGGCCTCGAGGTGGTGGGGCGCGCGTGGACCGATGCGCGCGCCGTCGGCCCCAGCGCTCGAGACCGCTTGCCCGACTAGCTTGCCCGCCTTCGCGCGGGGAATGGGCCGACGCGCGCGCCATTGCGCTCTGCTCCCGACAGGGCCGCCACCGCGCACGGCCCGCTCGCGCCGTTGACTAGGGCACCGCCAGTGATCCCGCCAGCAGGCGCGCTGGCCTTCCGTGGCCGTTTTCACTCGTGCCTTGAACCCGACTGCTCTTCTAGTGGGTTCAGCGGTTCGGCGTTGCCCGTCGACCGACGCCGCTTCTGTTGGGGCAGCCGCTCTCAGAGCAGACGGGCAGCCCGCCCAGGCCGCGGCAGACGATCGTTTCCTGCCGATGGCCCATGGGCCCCGCGCGCTCCTGCGCGTCGGGCGCCGATTCCGCGGAGCCGGCGGGAGCGGCCGGATGTATCGGGGCTCACCCCCGGCAGCCGGTCCCGACCCAGTCGTCGTGCCTGACGTCGTGCCTGCCGATCGGCTCGTGCGCCGAAGCTCCTTGGGGAGGCGCTCGCCGTCGCGGCGCGCGGGGCGAGTGCGGAGCGGCAGCCTGGGCCCTCCGGGTCCGACCCGCCTCCCACTGAGGCCTGGCAACCGCGTTGCCGCTTGCGGCGCGGCTCATGCTTCCGGGCCAGACGGGCAACGCGGCTCATTCCACAGGGCAGCGAGGCTTGCCGCCAGGCCCCGCCCGGGCGATAGCGAAACGCCAGGCCGGTGTATCCCCCGTTTTTTGTTTCTCCGAGCGGTGAAGAGATTCATGCATGGGCGCCTCCAGCCTGAGAAACGGGGCGAGCACGCCAGTCGTCTCCGCTTCCGCGCCAGGCGGCGCCCACGCTTGGACGCGGCTGCCCGCGCGGAGGCCGCGGCCTCCTCGATCAGCCTGATCTCGCCGAGCGCGTTCCAATACTCGCAAAGTGCCTACTCGCAGACGTCCGAACCAAAAAAAAAAAACATGTCTGCTTCGATGTAATTTATCGTAGAGCCCCCGCGGGGGATCCAGGCCAGTTGCGAGCAGTTACTTTGCGAGTAGTGGAACGCGCTCGTCGATGATCGCTGAGGCCATCGCTGCCAAAGCGCGAGACGCCGCCGCAATGCTCCACCAGCCCTGCCTCGACGCCGAGGGGGCAGGGCCTGCGGCAGGCGAGAGAGCCGCTGCCCTCCGAGTGGCCGCCGGCTCACGTCGGGCGCTCGCCCGGCGCTTAGCCGAGAGCCACCACGGCGCTGCGGCTGCTTCTGAGCCGCCCCCCCTGGCCGAAGAGCCCGCTCCCATCCGGTTGGCATGAGCCCGTCCAGCGATGCTGTGACGGCCCCGCAGGGAGAGAGGAGCGCGCCGCAAGGGGGGGTCTTGGGATCATCTCTCGCCTGGGGGTCTTCGGTCCGTTGCGTCTCACTGATCCCCTCACACCGTTCGGCCAGAGCGGCTTCCGAACTGGGTGGAATTATCTGCTGAGGGCCTTGAGCGTGCCGCTGTTGAACGGTCCACCCCTTGCTCGCTGCCCCCCACCCAGGCCTTATTTCTTCACCAGGTCTTTGAGCCTGGATTGGCAGATCGCCGACCCCGGCAACCAGGTGGCGGACGCCACCTGAGCGGCGCTGCTCGGCCCGCGCGCACGTCGGCCCCTGGCACCTGTGGGGCTGCCCCGCGCGCGCGCCGCGCGCGCCGTCCGGAGACCGCTCGCTTGCGAGGAATGCGGGGGAATGATATATTATATTATCCCTGCCTCCCGAGCGCTCGCGGTCTTTGTCGTTTCTCGGCCCTCACCTCTCCCTCCCTCCTGCTTCACTAAGGATGGCCTGCGCCGCTGCAGATCGCCGGCCCTGACGACCAAGTGGCGGGCGCCACCTGAGCGGCGCTGCTCGGCCCGCGCGCACGTCGGCCCCTGGCACCTGCGGGGCTGCCCCGCGCACCGCGCGCGCCGCCCAGAGACCGCTCGCTTGCGAGGGGTGCGGGGGAGTTATTTCAACATCATTGGTGAGTCTTGGAATTACATTGGTCCTCTTTCTCCTCCTCCTCCTCCTCCTCCTCCTCCTCCTCCTCCTCCTCCTCCTCCTCCTCCTCCTTCTCTTCTTCCTCCTTATTATCCTCCTCCTTCTCTCTTTTCATCTCTCCTTGTCTTGTGCGTGTGTGTGTGTTTATCTCTCTCTCTCTCTCTCTCTCTTTCTTTTCTCGCTCTCTCTCTCTCTCTCTCTCTGTCTCTCTCTCTCTCTCTATCTCCCTCTCTCTCCCTCTCTCTCTCTCTCTCTCTCTCTCCCTCGTCCTGCTCATCCTCATGTTCTCGCTGTCATGTTTGCGGGGACTTCCCACTTCTCCTGCCCTCGCGGGAGAGTCAGTTCCCATCCTCGTGCTCCTCATCTTCCCCCCTTCCCGCGCCGCCATCCCGCCCCGCCCTCCCTCCCGCCCTCCCTCCTCCTGCTCTTTCCTCCTTCCTTCCCCCCCCCCTCCTCCCGTGGCGACGCAGGAGGGGGGCAGGTGTGCGGTGCCGCGACGCCCCACTACCAAAGCGACGACTTCCTAAAGCCTCAGGAAACGCGTGGCCGCACTGCCCCGCCATTGCGCACGCGCGGGGGACGAGGCGTTCGCGTGGCGGTTCCGGGTGGTTTCCTGGGTTCTCATTAGAAGAATGTTGCGTTTCTTCGTTGCTCCTGGGGGCCGTCACTGGCCCCGGGGCCATCACCAAGCGATCCACATAACAAAACCCGCGTTGGGGGAAGAGGTTCCGACCTTGAAGTGTCCACGTTGTGAAAACATCACGGCGACGGAGGTCAGGGGGGGGGGCGGGAAGGCGAGAACAAGGAGGAGGAGGAGGAGGAGGAGGAGGAGGAGGAGACGAAGAGACGAGGACGGGAGAGGAGAGGATGGGGCGAAATGAGCTGGGGGAGGAGGAGAAGGCGGAGGACCTCCGGGGCCGGTCGGGAAGTCACGACGTCCGACGTCTGGGCTGCGGCGGCGCTCGTAGGTCATAAGGAGGGGGTCTGGGTGCTCTTCGGGGGCGCGCGGCGGTCTCCAGAGGAGGTGGGGGGGCGTGTCCGGCAGTTTTTGTCCATGGTCCGCGGGGCACTCGTGGAGCATGTCGGCCGTGTTTGGAGGTCGCTGCAGTCGTCGGGAGGTCTTCTGTCGGGAGGGGAGATGGAAGATTGAGTGAGGCGGCAGGAGTGAGGAGGAGGAGAAGGAGGAGGAGGAGGAGGAGGAGGAGGCGGAGGCAGGAGGAGAGGAAGGAACTGAGGATGGAGGACGGAGTTTGGAGTGTGAAGTGGAGTGGAGTAGACACCGCTGCTTTTCAGAGCGTGAATTTCCTACCCCCCTTTCGCTTCCAGGCAAAACCAAGCCATACCACGCGCCTCCTCGTCAAGCGGCCTGACCAGTACAGGCTGCAATTTGGCATCGTGTGGTATCTCTTAAAAGCGAGGGTGGTCAAAAGCGAGGTAGGTTTGTTTTTTCCCTAGCTTTGCAGGTTCGAGAGTATTCGATCACCGAGTCAATTGTTCACCTCGGCTCAGGACATTGGGTCTCAACCCCTTGGCAATCATGTCGAGATGCGCTCTACCAGTTTCAGACGTCCTCGCGACCGTGGAAGGCGTTGCGGACCTCTTCCTGCTGCTTCTGGATGTTGGTCAGCGCGTCCTTCTCCGACGGCTCGCACTCCATGGAGTCCAGCTCATCGAAAAACTCCTCATCCCACTCACTCGTGAACAGCCTGCCCGAGCGCCCTGAGCCACTCTCCGCGCTCCGGGCAACACCTTCGGTCTCGGCGCAAGCCGTCGCAGCCGTGCGTTTGGCCTCGAGGGCCTCCGCCAGCCGCTTCGCCAGGTGCCTCACCTTCTCCTCCGCGGCCGCCAGATTGCTGCGGGGGCGCGTCACGTTACTCACTGATTGGTCGCGTAAGTGTTCAGCATGCCTGACTGCCACCGTGCCACCTCCGCCTTTTCAGCGCGTCGACAGGTGAGAGCGAAGTAGACGAGGGAGCTACCGCTGCCATTTGTCCAGCAGAGGCGGCCGCGGTGCTGAGCGTCTTCTTGAGGGCGGGGTCGTGGGCCAGCTCGGCCGCCCTCTGGAGGAGCTGCTTGGTCTGGACGTCGCCGCCTCCGCCCTTGCCCCCGGCGCCGCCGCGGCCGCCGCGCTCGCGCCCCGCGGGGGAGAGGCGCTGCGGCTGCCACCTCGGAGGATCATCCCAGGGGCATGTGGCAGCGGGAGGGCACCGTCCTCATCTCCACTGAGCGCACCATGAAACGTGTCATGGTCAGCGTCCTGGCCGAATCATACCGTCCTTGAAGCCGGGCTGCACAGGGAGACCTTGGCCCCGCACCTCGGACACTTGAGGCCACCTGTCTGCAACTTGGAGTTCCATTCGCGATGCTGGCACGATCCGCACCTGATCCAGAGTTTCGCCATCCGCGCGTTAGTCAGTGCCCCTTCTATCTGGCACGAGAAGGGGCAGTGTCCCCCAAGCGCATCGCGGACGCCCACGGGACTCTGGGCGAGAGGCGGTTCACAAAGCAACTTGGGCCCGTTGAAGCCCTGCATCAGCCAGAGTTGCTCGAGCCAAAAAGATACGCAGGACGAAGCTTAGAGGAGCAATAATAGAAGAGGGGGGAGGGGGAGGATTGAGGAAGGAGGGAGGAGGAAGGGGAGCCAGAGGGAGGAGGAAGGAGGAGAAGGCAGCAGCAGGCGGTGGAGGTGGGAGTTGGGGGGGGGATGGTGAGGCGAAGAACAAAGGAAGATGAGGAGGATGTGAGGAGAGGACAAGGACCAAGGTTGCTGAGTTTGCTAGGGGGGAGTGGGAGCAGGGAGGAGGGCCAGGAAGGGCAAGGGCACGAGGGAAGAAGGTTGCGGAGAAGGGGGAGGAGAACAGGAGGGGGAGGAGGAAAAGGACGATGGGGAGGATTAGGAAAAGGGTCAGGAGGACGAAGAAAAGCAGGATGGATGGGGCAGCGCCGGAAGGAGGAAGGGGGGAACAAGTAGAGGATAAGAGAGGGAAGGATTGATTCAGGAACAGAAGGAGGATGAGGGATGAGGAGAAGTACGAGCAGGAGTAGTGGTCAAATTAGCCAGTTCAGGCGAGTCAGCGGGCCCTGCCTACTGCCACCCCGCCGCCCACAACATAACAACCAAGTGTGGCGCAATTTGGTATTTGGGATTGTTGGGGCGCGATCCCACCTCGTAAACAGAAGGCGCTCGCGCGAGCCCCCGATTTCGACGACGTAGCGAAGAGACAATTATGCGGTCCGTGCTGGGGCGGGAGCGGCATGCGCACACAAAGCATGCGCCGCGCGGACACAGCGCTGCAGCTTTCACTCAACCGCTGCGCAGCGCGTGGGCGAGGTCCGCATTTCGCCCGCTCTCGCGCGTCCCCGTTGCCGCTGTCGCTTGTATGCGATTCTGCGAGCGAGCCCTGCGCCGCGCCCGCGCGTGAACGCCATTTCCCAAGCGACATGTGCACGGAGCTTGGGCAAGGGCGGCAAGGCGGCCCCTCGCGCGGGCCCCGCCAGCATTCTCGAGTGATCCAGATGCGCCGCGCCCAGGCGGGAGCGCCACCTTCAGGCGAAGGCTGCGCGGCGCCGAGGCGGGAGCCGCATCTTCGTCCGCCCGCGCGTCGACCACGTCGCGTGCAACAGTGGGCGCCGCGCCCGAGCGGGAGCCCCGTTCTTTAGAAGCATGAGAGTAGCGCCAGAGCGAGGGCGACATTTCAGCCTTTCGCGCGGGATGCGCGCCCCGTCCCACTCCTGCCACGCATTTTGCAACGTGGACGACCAGATGTCAATGTTGAGGCGGACAGCATTGAGATTGTTTTTTGGGGCAGGTAGATTAGATTGGGACCATCCGACCTGGCCCCATATCGGCCAGCTAGGTGGCAGAGTAGGAGTGCAAACCAAAGAGGAGTAATGATCTGAGGAGGTGGAGGAGAATGATGACGTGCTCCAGTTGTGTTGATTTCTATGCGGGTCCTCGCGCGTCTTGGCGGGCCATGAAGGTTCAGCACTTTCGAGGGCCAAAGGAGGAGCAGCAGCAGCAGGAGGATGATGCGCAGTATGAGCCGGAGCAGGGAAGGGAGGATGGAGGAGGCAGAGGAGAAGAAAAAAGGCCAACGACAAGTAGAAACAGCGGGAGGGAGGACGGGATTGGCGATTGGAGCATGCCGTTGGCTTGCAAGTTGACGTTGAAGTTGGATGCGTGGCCTCCCTCGCATACGCGAGCTAATGCTTATGCTGCTTTGCGGCGTGTTGCTATAGACACGCCCAGAATGGCGTTCAAAGTTTTTCTTTTCGTGGCATCGCTCGGACGTGTGCATTTTTCTTCGGACTGGACCATCGAAAAGGATCTTGCATCATCCTGCGAAAGTACACCCACGAACTCGAAGAATGCACGTGCAATGGACGTCCGAGCGATGGCGAGACTTTGCTCCTAAGGTAAGTGGGTACTGGTGCCGGTCCGGCCGGCTTGTGGCCGCCCGTCGCCGCCGTCTGTTGCCCCCAGTACTGGGCCCCTGTGCCGGTCCAGCCAGCTTGTGGCTGTCCGTCGCCGCCGTCTGCCGCCGCCACCATTGGGCCCTGGTAGACCTGTCTGGCCAGCTTGTTGCCGCCCGTCGCCGCCCTCTGTCGCCGTCACTTGCCCCCCGTGGTTCTGCATTGATTTGCATTCTCTTGCATTGCAAAAACATTGCGTTGCTGTGCCTTGCTCTGCGCCACGTACTGATGATTTGTTTTTTGGTCGGGGATTCTCAGGGTTTCCGGCCATGTGGCGCCACGCGATTCCCTGGCGCAAAACAATGGTTTTGCGCAGGCTTCCAACATTTGTACAAAAGTCTGGCCAGAATAACGGACTGCAACACATTGATTGCACCACCGAGATTGCACCGCACAGACTGCAAGAAAGCATGGTGTGGGGCCCAAGTTGGCTAACATCCTATGGCTAGAGTCTAGAGTTTGGCATCAACGTCTCTTGGGCTGGGTTGGAGGCTTGCCTACCCTGCGACAGATTGCTTCGCTGCTCTTGTCGGAAAATGGGCCTGTAATTAGGCTGTTCGACTTCTCCTCGTCCTCCCTGTTCTTCCTCCCTTCCCGGTCTCCAAGCGAATGCTTGGAGACCGGCCGTGAACCATATTCAGCTAGGCGGGGGCATTCCTTGTCAGCCTGAGACAGGCCAGGGCGTGAGGAAACCACCGTCGCCCATGTAGAAGTCGGTATCAGCGCCAACTCTGCGGAGGCTCTTACCAATCATTCGCGAACCTCCCAGAGCCTGGCTCAACTTCTGGGGCCACATTCGGCGGGAGGTTGTTTCCTGGATGGTTCTTCCGAGACAAAAGTGTTACAAGTCTCGATGCAGATGCTTGTTGCGTTTGCCGCCTCGCCAGCGATGCTTCGTAGCGAGAGAGAGGGTTGCTGCAACGCGCGCAACCCGCCAAGCACTACCCCATCGACAAAGTGGACGAGTTGAACAACTACTCGGCGACAAGCAACCTTCAGGACACTGAGCCTCAGAGCTAACGGGGTGGTCTGGAACATATTGTCAGGAGCAGCGGACAGACGCAGCACTTGCCAATGCTCATCCACCAGGTGTGTCAGTAGATTTGCTCGTGCGTCGGCGCTGCGTCTACGGTGTACTACTGCCTTACATGGCAGTGCAGTGAGGCACGGGTGGCTTCGGGCTTCGCAGAGACTGAGCAGGGAGCCTGTAGACTGCATCACGAGGATGGATACGCACGACTTGGCTGGCCCAGATGAGGTCCGGATACGCCGGACGGTTCCCACTACGCCGTGGTCGGCGTGGTGGGGGTACGCGTCGCTTTCCGTCAGATTTGGGACCCCGGAGAGTTCCCGAACCCAGTTGTAGCGTGTTGTGCCGCCAGTTGTGCCCCACCGCGCGTCGGCGCGACACGCTAACCGTTTCCCAGCTCCCAAGCGTTAACGTCCCGAGCATTTTACCCGCCGCCCGCCCCGCGAAGCGGAGAGGCGCTATCCGCTTGCGCAGTATGGCGTGTCGCTGGGGCCGCCGCCAAGACACGCTAAGCACAAGTTCCCGTCGCGTGAACCTGTGGGCATACGGCGCGGCCGCAGGTCTTGCCAGCGAGCGTGGACGGGCATTCTGGCCCTCCGCATGTTCCGCGTGTGGATCCAGCCGTGTGTGTGCGCTGTTTGTATGTGTTTGCGAGCTTGTTTGTGTGTGTGCGTCTGTGTATGTGCTTGTGTGTACTTGCGCATGTGCTTGTGAATGCGCGCGTGTGTGCGTGACGTTGTGTGCTTGGCTGCGCGTGCTTGTGTATATGGGATGGTTTGTGTGCTAGTGCGCCTCTGCGTGATTGGTTATGTGTCTGTGTGTGCGTGTGTATGTGTGTGTGCTCGTGTGTGTGTGTGTGTGACTGTTCGCATGTTTGCTTCTGCGTTGGCTGTGATTGGTTGCGTGTGATCGTACTTGTGGTGTGAGTGAGTGTTTGCGTGTTTTGTGTGCGTGTTCGTGGGCGCCCAGCTTCCTGGTAGGAACTGTGGTACATGTATTGTTCTCACCGCGTCCTCCCACGAATGTTCCTCGCGGCAGCATTTGCAGACGATAGAAGAGGACGTGCGCAGGAGCAGAGAGGATCGATCAGGGCGGCAAGGGTGGCATTCACCCGAGTTGGCAATACCGTCTTTCTCTTTGGTTGGTGATCGCGGGCCTTTTCCCCCTCAGACACATCCAAGAATTGTTCCGAACGCCTGGGGGATCGACTTCTGCACGCCTTGGCAGCCCCATGCGCCCCCATCCTTCGCATCCGCTTCCGCTTCCCCCGCGTCTTCCTCCTCTCGGGGGGTCCTAAGCGGTGCGGTGACCACACCGTGTGGTGAGTCAGTGGGGGTTCGGAGCCACCGCACGGTTCTGGATTCGGGTCAGTCTCCCAGGATGTCTTTGGCGAGTGGGGGCGCGGTGACGGACCGTACAGTGAGGTCTCTTGGGGTTTCGAGGTCGCCGCACGGTCTGTCACGGGACCGTTTTAGGACCCCAAGTTTTCTTCCCTTCCCATGATTCATCCTCGTTATATTCCCTCTGTTAATACCCTCTTCTCTTCCCTCTTCCTTTCTCTCTCTCGTTCTCTGTCTCTCTCTCTCTCTCTCTCTCGCTCTCTCAGCCCTGGTGTCGTACCGACGCGGCCACCCCCCCCCTCCTCCTCTTCCTCCTCCCCCTCACCATTATCATCCTCATCCTCATCCTACAACCTTCTCCTCCTCTTCCTCCTGCGTCATCCTCCTCCTTTTCCTCCTGCGTC